TCCCCTAGCTATCCCTTCCCCCTGAATGAATAGACATATCCTCCTAACCTATCTCTCCAAACCCTCTTATCTGAAACCCCCAGGATTCGTTGTCCCTGGCGGGGGCCCACCTCTATCCCAGAACCTTCTGTATTTCCCTGTATATAAACTCTGATCTTGTGTTAATAAACTGCCATTTTGTGGGTCACAGTTCTTGAGTGTGTCCCGTCCCCCAATGCAAGATGTGCCTCGGAGGTTTGCAGCAGGTTCACCCCCCAAAACCTGCTAGACACATACTGAGCAGATTTGCTCTCCCTTTGGAAACTCCTTCCTCCCATGTGTGATGAGGAGTTTGTGTGCTTGCTTCTATGGACTAGTCCATAAAGTCTGCTAAAAAAGACTAGTCTGGCAAAGTACTGTCTGAGGCCCCTTAAGATTGACTTAATAGTGTTTGTACCCATTATGCCAATCTGCTATATCAGATATACCATCCCCAGTGATTTCTGGATCCTGACTCTTCTTATTATTGTAGTATTCTCCAGTTGCTTCATTTTGCAAACACTGCAGCAGCCCTTGACTGGAAAAGTGAGTGGACTCTTGTCAGAAGTGGTATTTTCTCCTGTGTCAAGCTGGGATTTCACAAAGTTGCAAAGAACATTACAGTACTTTTCTGTTGCTGATTACGTGGCTCCATGCACACCTGACACTGGTCTGTACACACTCCCAGGCCATTCGTTCCTGAACAGCGATCCATCTATGGTGTATCTCTGTGTGTTTAAACCAGGCTATAGTTCAACAAGCACTTAAAGCCAGCAGAACAACTAAAAGAAATTGTATTGTCCCTTCTTATCCCTACTCAGCTGTTTCTGCCTCCACATTATCTCCTTCCTTGTGTTGAATTCTATCCCCAAGGCTGTATTCAGCTCTGCCTTTTGCTGTCTGTGATCAAGAGAGTGACACAGGTAACCACAGGTTACCCCATGGCATCCTGAAGTAACCAGCTAGTAACAGCTTTTGTGCCCTTTCTTCCAGCTGCCAAGTGTTTTTCCCCAGGTGCTCCAGGCTGTCTGTGTCTTGCTGTGGCACTTGGTGTCATTTCTCCTTGTGCTGCAGGGACTTAGAGCATCCAGAGAGGGGCCTTATTTCTTTTCTTAAGATGCTTTGAAAAGGACTTGATCTGAAAAATAAGAAAAGAAAATGGGTTTTATTACCTTTCCACCTAAATAAATCCTGGGGTTCACTAATGCAGAGATACTTTAAAAAATTGTGCTCTTTCTCTTTTCTGGAGAAAGATGATGCAGTTCTCCGAGAAGAGAGAAATAAAATCACCAGCATCAACTATTCAGAGACTGGGCAAGCACCTTGAAACTCCCTTCAAGCTCTGGCAGTGCACCGTTCTCACCAGGGGCTGGGTGCAGCTGAGAGTAGGAGGGATCAGTGGACCGTTATCCCCCTAAAATCATTTCAATCCACCTGTGAGTACCAGACTCCAGACAGTGAAGAAAACCTAGGGTTTCAAGAGTTCACCCAAAGCAGAGCACATTTATTCTGAAAGTTCTCCTCTAGAAATATAACCTGAGTTTTCTACCAAGGTCACGTTGACTCTGGAAACACGGGACCTGTGCATCACGTTTTCAGGTGGCTGCTGCCCATCACTGTTTTTTAATTCAGTAGACAGTGGAAATGCCAGGGCTTCTCATCAGCCATATGTACATGACCCTTGGAAAGCAGCAGCATGATTTCTTCCACACCATTACTTTTTATTGCATTCACTGTTATATCTCTGTAAAACAGGGAGACAAAATACCCACAGAGCTATTTTCATTCTTTGACAGAACAAGTCTGTTGAGCTTCGTTTGTGTAACGTGAAGAACATCAGTCACTTAGAGCTAAACTGCAGTTGAAAAGGTCACAGTCACTGTGACAGAGTAAATTAAATGTTTAATTCAAATAGAATATCAGTTACAGTTGCAGTGGTGCTCAGAGTCACCTGTGTTTTCTTTTCTTTTCCCTAAAGCTCAGCAGAGTATGATTCAGCATCAGCCGTTGGCACCCTTGCGTTACAGAGCCCTTCCAAAAGGTGCTTAGTTTTTATTTTAGATGTTCTATAAACTGAATAGTGGGTCGTGTCTGCAGAACCCTGCCTCCTCTCCATGGATTGCACAGGAAGAGAACTGGGAGAAAGGGTGATGTATTTGCATTTTTTGTATATCTAGTAGCATGAGTCACAGAGCCAGTTCTGGATTATTTTTTTTTTTTTTTACTGAAGACTAGGTTGTTTGTGAAATGGGAGTTTTTTAAAAAAGATTTTTTAGCACATTTTGCTTATGGAGAATAAAACAATTTTGTCTGGAGACTTCATCTCTGTCCTTCATCAGCTGGGCTCTGCTCAAGGCTCTGGCCAGCACAGCTGGAGATTAGTCTAGCCTGGCTCCCCCCACCCCAGCAGGTACTCTGGGGTGGACTTGAGGCTTATATGGACGTGGACACTTAAGCCCCTATCTTTAGTGTAAAGATTTCACTCTACCACAGCAAAATTCAGCAGCAGCTACTCTATGTATTCATGTGGTTGCCCATGACCTGTCTCAGCTATGGCCACATCCTGCATTCAAGTAAGTGCTTAAAAATGCCATGGGCATTAGACCTAACTGTTAAGGCTTCATCTCACTCCTTATCCCAGCAAAACACATCATCCAAGTATGGATGCTAACACCAATAGGACACACTGTCTTCTTGAAAATGTATCAACTATATCATGACCATCAGCCCGACAGAGGAGACCTAGGAAGGCTCAGCAGCACTAGTGCTTTCTTGGCTTGCCAGAGCTTGTATTTAAATGGGAACTGGAAGAGCATGAGGTTAAAAGAGGGAGGTGTTTCCTTGGACCAGGCAAAGTTCACTGCCCTGGCCTTGGCTGTGGGCTTAGTGACTGGCCAAGCTGCTTCATGTCTGTGGCTGATGCAGTCCACAGGCAAATGAAAAGTACACGCAAAGCTGGGTCACCAAGGAAAAGTGCCCAGTGTGCCAATTTTATATATGAATCAGGGAGTGGTGAAGAAGAGATTGATGCTGTTGTCCATGTGGCATTTAGTAGCGACTTATAAAGCATCCAGAGCAGTGCTGGCTCATTTGGAGCTGGTGTGGCTCTCTCGGCTCTTGTTGCTGTGGGTAGTGCCCACTCAAATTAAGTCACTTGCAGGTGCTACAGCCTTTGCTCTGTCTCTGCACAGCCCAGTGCTTTGCTGGTGGAGCTGACCTGTGCTGGCTTGTGCTCACCAAGGGCTCAGGGAATGCAAACATGCTGTGACTCATCGGAGCCACAGCATCTCCATGAGCCCTGGATATGAGGCCACTTCAGCAACTTCGTTGAACTGCCCAAGCCTGAAGTTTCCTGCCTAAATCCGTAATCAAGCATGTGAGTGCACAGCCTGCAGTCCAGAGCCCAGTTCAAGAGGAGTATCCATGAACAGGACAGAAAGAAGGGCTCTGCTTCCTTGGGCTCCCTAATTTTTCTCAAATTGACTTTGCAGCTCAATATAAACCTCTGTGATTTTAACACCGGCTGTTTATCCATGCTTCTCATTTTTGACATGCTGAGGCTGTACATTTCCTGGAAATAAAATGACTGAGAGAAGCAGAGCTGCAGAAGGAATTTGAAGGTTTAGTGATTCACACACAAAAAGCCCTCTTCTCCCAGGCACGCCTGCCAAGTTCCCATTTTCAACATCGGATGCCTTTACTATTAAATTACAGCTACTGAAGCGGATCTTGAATTGCTGCTCCCAAGGACAACAGCAGTTGCTTTGCTGAATGGCAGGAGTCCTAATAGCAGTCTCAGCAATCACAGGAACAGCAAGATTTCTCTGTTGTCTCTTTGTGGATATCATCTTGATTTAGACTCCAAATGTCACTGCCTTGGAGGGTTCTATGTTTGGTGTTTCTCCCTGCCAATGTACTCATGAAATCAGTTCCTTCCCTTTCTCTTCATGTTACACCTATTTCACAGCTTCCCAGTTATAACTTGGTTTTGTGTGACTTTTTTACAGGGTGCTTGTTGAAAAAGAGCCCTGGTGCAACTGTGAATGTGTGTTTGTGTGGGACCTCTCAGAGCAGAGAATTTGGGTAAAGAGAGGGCTCAGGTAATGAACCTGCAGTTTGGAAGTGTGTAAGGAGCTAGAAAGATCTTGCAATTAAACAGCACAGGGAAATGATCTGAACAGAACTGGAGAGCCCTTGGAGCAGGACAGGCTGGTGGGAGCTGCCTGGAGCCTCTGCAATGCAGTGAGCTGCAGCTCTGCCCCTGAAAATCCCATCCCTGGAGCTCACAGGTGGCCTTCTGACACCAGCCCTTATTACTGCTCACCATGGTTTTCCCAGCCAAGATCAAACTTTATTGGGGTCACTTGTAATTCTATCCCCTCTATTCCTTCTTTCTCTGACAGGGCTGGAGAAAGGCTGAAAAAATTTCTTATGTGAAATATGACCTGTTGTCTATGGACTCCTATATTCCTGTGGGGTATCTCCTGATCAGCAGCATCTGATCAGAGCAAACACTTCTGAAAGTCTCTAAATGCTGTTCGGTACCTGCTCTTCATTTTTCTGAGCATCTCTGTCTCTGCATACTGCTGGGACACACTCATTGCCACAGCATCACTGCCCTGCAATGAAACAGATGCTGCTACAGCACACCTTTGTAGCTGACAAAACTTTTTTTCTGCCGGGTTCCTGTTGATACCTGCAGCTATCTGTTAGAGGGAGGGTCTGTGGGATTTTTTATCCGTAAACACAATGCAAGATAAATGTAAACATACATTTGTTTCTTCTTTGTGTGGCATACACTTGGAAATATTAATAATTCTGCTGTTGTTACACAAGCAAAAAATGGACTGCCTGCAAATCACAGCTAGAAACAGAGTTGCAAGATGCACACTGGGAGAAAGGCCATGTTATGTGCTCACATGGCAAATATATTTGAAAGTTCATCACCTGCCATTCAGCCTCTTTTAGCTGCTGTCCCACAGGAGTTATACAGGTTCCTCCTGTCAATTCTGACCATCTGCAGCAGTATCACAGCCTCTAGGTCTTGTTCCACCCCCTGCATTTGTTTTTATTGTCATGATTTTTATGAAAAGCCTCCAGTAGCAGTCATATTGGATGCAGCATTGCATGGACAGCTGCACACAGGGTTGGAACAAGCCAGACGCTGCCCCTTGTTATCTGGGTGGTTGCAAGTAGTTTTTATATGTTTGGTTACCTCAAAAGGTATTACATTCTTAGCTAAGTGTTTTGAGTTACAGTGATATAAATGGGGGAAAAACAGGAATCAGATAAACTGATAGAATTATAGAATGTTTTGGACTGGAAGGGTCCCTTAAAAGCTTTCTGGTTCCAACCCTCTTGCAATGAGCAGGGACATCTTCAACTACATCAAGTTGCTCAGAGCCCTGTCCAACCTGACCCTGAATGTTTCCAGGAATGGGGCTTCTACAGCCTCCTGGGCAACCTGTGCCAGTGATTTACCAACCTCATTGTGAAAAATCTCTTCCTTACATCTAGTCTGAACCTTCCCTCTTTAAAGTTAAAACCACTATTTCTTGTCTTAACACAACAGGCCCTGCTAAAAAAATATGTCCCCATCTTTCTTATAAGCCTTCTTTAAGTATTGAAAATTGTGAGTTGTTGTTGTTAAACTGTAGGTTGTACATGAACAAATGCAAAACTGTATTTGCATCAAAGCTAAAGCAAGTGCTGAGTAAAGTACATTATGAGTAACAGCAGTGTAGGAATCAGAAGAAATCCATCTGTGGAGTATGTGGATAATCAGTCCTCATGTAAATCTTTCTTAGGAAATTCTCTGACTCAGTAGAAGGCCAGAGCTCTGTCATTGTGTTTTGTCTAGTAAAAAAGGTAGAAGTGCTGAACCCAGAGCTTTGAAACTGTTTGTGAATCTAGCTTGAAGACTTAAGGAAATGAAGTCCAGTCAATAGCATTTTTGCATCTCAAATAATAAATCCACAGTTCTTTATGGCAACAGACTGTAGGTACAGCATTATGTAAGTTCTGTTGTGCAAAATGCCAGGGTCTTGTAAATCTACATAGTTTGCTTCATTAGAGCAGGAACTTTGCTGTGTACCCAGGTAAAATCTATCTACAGGGTGACATTGAATGATGCTGCTCAGGAGCCTTCAGCCACACATTTCCTGAAAACAGTTCTGTATTTGCTTAAAAAAACCCATTCTTCGTACTTTCTTTAAGAAAATGATATATTTCAGAGGGTCTTTTTAATCACAGATTGGTATTTACCTGCCTTAATGTTCCTAATGAAATGGAGGTCCTACTTTTGGTAGATCTGTTGAGCCCATTCATCTCCAGTGACAATGTCACATCATCTGATGAGGGTAGGCTCAACTGTGTAACTTTTGGATGCCAAAAAAAGAGAAGAACACCACCACATTCTACACCAGGGACACTGATGGGCAAAGTACCATTTCCAAAATGGGAAATTGAGTCCCAGTAAGGAATTCACTTTGAGGCTTGATTTGTGTGGGCATTGCTCAGATATGAGAGTAGGACAAGGTATAAACCCTGAAATAGTCACTAGGGATGAAAACATCTGTATATACTAGATAAGAAAATTTATTCATTACTAGGTAGCAACTTTCCAGTAGATTATCAACCCAGCATCTGACAGAGCAGAATGAGCTATCATACTAATAGGAACATGTCATAAATATTATTGCTTTGAGAACGTTGCCTACTTTTTCCAAATCCTTTCAACTTTCTCTTCAGTTTCTCTCCAATCATTATCAGTGGTAGACCTGGATGGAAAACAGTGCTTTTTGTTGTTGTTCTCTAGGAAATAATGACTTCTCTGTCATTATTTTCAATTCTAAACAAAAACTTAGAGCCACCATGGTGAAATTTCCATTGAGTAAAAGTTCAGATAGTTTCAGTCAAAACCAACAAAAATATTTCATTGTGATAATGCCATGTATTATAAAAAAGTTTCCTACAATGTACAGGATTTAATTTTGTAAATAAAATTGAGACAAAAATACAAAAGGTATTTTGACACTGCCAGAACAAGCCAGCTGGACTTTGTCCTCTGAAAAATGCAATTGAATTGTACTCTCAAAATTTAATACAACTGCATTTTCCAATTGAAAAACTGATCCATCAGCTGGATTTAACTTCGGGAGTCTGATCCTGCCAATAGGTATACTAAAAATTGACAGCAATCTAACTGGGTTAGAGTTGTAGAGGTTTGGTCAAATTTCTTCTCTAGCTTAAATTTTTGTAAATTAGTCTCTGAGACAGGGTCCTGGTTGATGGAAGACAACAATCAGCCTGACTTCTTTGAGCCCTGCAGGGGTAAAGTCAGATTAGAGCCACCTATTTCTTCAGCTTTAGCTCATGGTCCAGAGAACAGAAGTGTGTTGATCCACAAGAGCTGTGTTGGTGTCCCACAGTAAACACCTTGCCGTAACTTGTCACTTATTTAAACTGCAGTAAGAAAATGATGGAAATCAGATTTCTTCTATTACTTGTGAAAAATAGGAATGGAAATAAATAATTTACTCAGCGAAGCATCTCCTTTCTTGGAGAACTCTTGCAGTGATCTTTTCGTTCCCCAAATCCGATATGGTTTAAATCCATTGCTTGCTTGGTTGTATCCTCTTTTCTGCCTGACATTTATGACAAGCCAAAGTAATTCTTAGAGTGATGTTTTTCCCTTTAAATGGTACAATCTGGTTTTACACCTAGTCATACTTTCAGACCTAACACAGATTTCTCTTTTTGTCACATTTTAGAGAAAGCATAGCACAAAAAAAAAAAAAAAAAAAAAAAAAAAAAA